CCCCCCAAAAAAAACCCCAAAAAAACCTTCCTCCCGTGCCGTACCTGCGCCTAGCCGCCGCAGCGAGCCGCGGGGGTGCTCTCCGGCAGGAATTCCTTAAGGAATTCGCGCTGTTGTGCTGGGGGTGGTCGGAGGGAGCGCCGGTCGTTCCCGAGCGGCGTGTGAAGTTTTCTTTCGGTCAAGGGAAAACTGCGGGGAAAGTTCTGTCTGGCGTTTCGGAGTTGAATCCGCAGCTCGTGGCGGTGTTGTTTAGGTTAGTTTTGATTGAGGTTTGCTTTGTTCTTGATCCTTTCTGATAGTCCGGCAGCATCGTGGGTATTAACGGAGTGCAGCGGGGAACTTATTTTCACTCGCTTATTAGAAAATATTTCGCGTCCTGCCAAAGTTTTGGTGTAACCTGACAGAGCTGTTAGTCAAATGTGCTTAAAGGATCTGTCCGGTCACTGTCAAGTTAACTCTTTGGTTGCCAAGCTAAATATTTATTGTTCAAATGCCACTTAGGAAAGGGATTTAAAGAGTCGTATCGAAGGACTTGAAACTTCAGAGAGAGCTGCAGCAACTCGGAACAGTGTGAGTCCATGTGCTTCACATATGGCTCTGCAGTGCTGGGCTGATGTGACAGTTTGGATCTGATCGTTTCATCCTGGATGCAGCTGGTACTCCTTCTCCCTCTGCAGCCAGCTCAGCTATCTCTTCCTTACCGAGAATTTGCAGGCTCGCTAGTCACTTTTGATTGTTATTTATTACTGTTCTGATGAATTTTCAAACCTGGCAGCCAGAAGGGTTTGAATCTGCAAGTCCCCCCGTGCAATTTGACTCAAATGCCACAGAGTTCTGAACTTCCTTTGGGGGTAATGGGATCTCCATGGCAATGAGGCCTGCTGAGAGAGAAACGTGGGCTTGGAATTTGATAAAAGATGACTTGGGGGCTGTAAAACACCATCATCCTCATCCCAAAGTAATAATTAATCATGGCTTAGAGCAACCTGACTTGTGGAATTGGAGAAAGCTGAGGAATTGGGCTTGAAGAGGCATCTGAGGAATTGCCTCGTGTTGAAAAAAAATCCTTTTGGGTAGGAAAAAAAACCCAGAAAGGTGTGTCATGAAAAGAATATAAATGTGTTGCTTCCAGCCCAATGCATCAAAGAGCTCAGAGCCTGTAATGCTTTCAGCTGACAAGTTCGTGGCACGGTGCCATTCCCAGAGGAGTGGTGCAGATTCCATTCAGAAACACAGGGAGTGCAGCATCTATGGGAGGTCGTCTGGGGTGGCTTTTTAAAGCTCTGTGTGTGCCTGCTGCAGAAATGCCTCTTTGCTGGGGGTTTGAAACTTGCAGGATATAATGGTTTGAGGAAAAAAAAAAAAAAAGTAGTAGTAGAACTGGGAATTTGAGCCAAACGTAGCTGCAGTTTCTGGGCTGCTTCTGTAGGAACTGGAAGTTCTGGTGTGTTACATGTGTGTGAGCCTGATGTTTAGAAAGCACTGGGTATCAGCTCTGTGAGTCCTTTCCCTTCTTGGGTGTGAAGGTGAGCTATGAAAATGGAGCCATGGGAGATAATTGAGGCAAAAATGCTAAAAGTATCAAAACTCTTTCAAAACAAAGTATTAGCTACAAAACTGTACCAGAGGTTCAGGAACCTTCTGATTCCTTCATGAACTTCAGCTCTTTTTTGATTAGCTGGTTGTGTATTTAGTTTGTTGTATGTAATACAGAAATTGATTTATATATATATATATATGCAATAAACATTGATATTGCTGGTTTTATTTCAATCCTAAGCCATTTCTAAGCCACTCAGGCTGTTTATTTCTATGTGCATCCTGTGCTCAGTTATACACACTAGATGCAGACTTAGACTGCTGATGGTCACAAATGTGACCATCCAGGAGCAAATATGTCTCAGAGTAGTTAATTCTTTTCCTTCTGCTATACATCAAGTGGCTCACAAATGGGGACAACACTCTTGTGGCTGTGTCTTGACCAACCACCACCAATTTTGCTCCTCAGGGGCTATTTGATTGCAGCACCTTCTGTATTCAGATCTGGTGTGGAGGAAGCTATCAGTGTAACCATCTTCAACTCTGTCAAGGAGACAACAGTCCAGATCCAGTTAGTGGTCAAAGGAGAAACCGTGTCACGGAGCCACGGAACAGTCCTGGGTAAGTGCCTGTAGTTCTGAGCATGAGAACTAGTTGATAGGTTGAGGTGCTGTGAGAACTCATCAAGATCTTGCCAAGAATTGCTGTAGGTGTTAAGAGAACTGGAATCAAACTTATATTTAATAATTGGCTTCTGCTGCACCTTCTCTGTTGATTGTGTTAATGTGGTTTGATGTATATGATCTCAAACCTCCAATGCCAATGACTTATAACACTAAGACATACAGAGACCAAAGATGATTCATATTCAAGAGTCTGATAGTGAATATCTTTCCTTTTGAAACCTGTTTGACACTGGCAAGCTAAGTAAGGAATAAGTTGTTTTTAAAGAAAAATATAAAATCTACAACATCATCATCACTTTATTCCCTTATCTTACAGTGAGTGCTGGGAATACAATCTCCCCATCCTCAGGACTGAGTGTTGCTGAGTCAGGTGCTAATATTTATTCAGTTGAGTAAATCTTTACAATCCAAGACAGATACCTCTGTGCTGTAAAGGCAAAGTGTTTTGAGTATGTCCAACTTAATACTGAGTGAACTTCCAGTGGTGAAAGTGGAGCCCAGGAGTGCTGTTGTACCACTGTAGACAAGGCTCAGGCAATCAGGCTCTTGAACCATCATGTTTTAACCTTTCTATGTGTAGAAACCTGGGGGTTTTATAAACCCCTTTTCCTTTCTTGGAACAGTTTGTCTCTGGTTTTATCCTCCCCTTGTTGTCTTTGAAACTGGCTGATGACTGCGAAGTCATTCAAAGGGAGTGATGCTCACACATGTGGGCAGCACATGCTCCAGAGAACTCTTAGGTATGGCTGTATCCAGCAATCCAAATAGATCCTCTGGGTGTTTGTTTAGGGAATTACTCAAGTCCCAAGGGAGACCAGGTCCTTTTTACAGCAAAATACTTCTGTAAGCACAGGCTCTGTGCTCAAACCTCAGCCTTGGTGGCACTCATTATCCACAGAACACTTTGCAGTTTACCATGGGCAAAACCTGTAAAGAAATAGTGCCTTAGCTTGAGAATAACTATTTCTTTTCCTTTTTATTTTTCTCTCTTTCATTGCAGATAAGGGAACGATTAAACTGAAGGTGAGTGTCAATAATTTGAAGATGTTTTTGGTGAAAGCATGAAGGACTTTATTTCAGCCACATCAGGCATTGCTGCCTGAGCAGCTGTGGCACCAACACACATCACATTCTGGTGCACACACTGAGGAGGAAGAAGTTTCACAAGAGGAAGAGTGAAAAGAACAAAGCTTAATCCATCACAGCTCATCTGTCAGGCCCTTCTGTCACTGAAGAAAATCAGTGGCTGAATCTCTGGCTCATGGCAAAGTTCTATGTTGGGGCTATTTGGTAAGAAAGGCAGCACAGGATGCTGAGTAAGTGATGTGGAGGTTATTGCTTCAAATGTAGGCAAAAAAGAGCTGGGCTGAAGAACAAGCCTTAGAAGTGTTGTCTCTATTAACTTAGGACTTGCTTTGGAGTTGTCCTCTTGGATGGCACTTAAGGAGTGGAACAAACCATTAAATTTTGACCTGCTTCTGGATTCAGATTCTATCAGATTTTTTACTTTGTCATTTTTAATCTGATGCCATTTTAAAAGTCTTTTATTTCTCTGAGCAAGTGGTTGGATATGTGCAAGCATGAACTTTTGTTCTGGGGATGTTTTTGTGTTGAGGTTGTCTCCTGTTTGGTGGAGCTGTGCCTTCCATAGCAGTGTTGCTTTCCCCATAGTAACACCTTCTGTAGTGGAAGTTGCACATGTAGATCAAGTATCACTTTGCTGGAGTGATAAAGAAAGGGCAGAAAAGAACTTCCTGCTGTGTTTTAGCAGGACTTTGCCTCCTTTGAAGTTTGTATGTTGTAACAAGTCTAGTATGTTCTTCATTTCCTTTTCACTACTAACACCCAGTTACCCTGAAGAGCAGCAGGTGGCTGCTCTCGCTCACTTCAGTGCCAGTTATTTTCCTCAAAGGCTTCTCTGTGTCTCCCTCACCTCCCTGTCTGTGCTCTAGGTGCCTTCAGGACTTCGTGGACAAGCACATCTAAAGGTCTGGGGCAACAGGCACCTGGCAGAGGAAGGTTACATTTTCCACAACTACACCACAGTCACCATCGACAGCAAAGGATCCTCAGTGTTCATCCAGACTGACAAACCTGTCTATAAACCCAAGCAGAAAGGTAAAGTGACCTTGAAGACCCTGCCAGGTGCTAGGGCTGCTATCAAGCAATCCTGGTGTCAAGGGGAGTTTCTAGGCTGTGCTGTTCAGTTCAGTCTCAGCTGTGATGACCAATGAATTTCCTCTTTTTCTTTTTTAGTGTTGATAAACCTCTTCATGGTGACTTCTGACTTGAGACCAGTCAATGACAGGGTAAGGAAAACTGTTTTCTCTTACTCTAAAGTGTGATGGAACACTGGGCAACCTGTGTTTTATTTTAATGTACTTCTGTGCAGAACTAGAACTGGATTTGTAACCTCTTTAGGTATCTCTTGTGATAGCTTGTTGGATTTTCAATTTAGCTTTTTTCCCCTTGGTCACGTTGCCATTGAAGGAGGATAAAGACTTGTGGAGTGCTGGAAAATAGGACACAAATATGGCAGAGCAGGGACAAGAGTTTTTCAGATTTATTTAGGTAGTACACAGACATGCTAAGTACTACTTTTCCAATTAGATGTGTGGATGAAATGTGTGTTTCTCAGGCTATTCTTAGCAAAGAAGAGATGTTTAAACTGTCCCTTTGTGTATCACACCTTGCTTAGCTCCACTCAGCTGTTCAGCCCAGAAAGCAGATGAGTAACTTAGTTTTATAAAGCCTTTTATTGTCTGTTTTTTTCTTTCAGATTGAAGCTTACGTGGTGGTGAGTGTCTGTCTGCTCATCTAGCATGTTCTGGAGAGGCACCAGGTTCTTGTAGCCTGAAGAGGAACAAGTCACACATCTGTACCTTTTCAAGTCCCTTATGGCCATTCCCAACTATAACCTGTGCAGTTTTCTCTATTCCTGTGTCTTTAACTGGCACCAACACATCCTGGTTTTCTACTTCAGCTTCAGAACTCCATTTCCATTTTTCACCATGAGAACTGACTCAATTCACTTGGATTTAGAAGTGTAACAGTCCCACCCAATCTCTCCCTTCCTTGCAATGCAGTCCCTCTCCTATGCACTGTCCAGGCTGATGGAGCAGGGCCAATCTCATCTCTTCACCCAAACATTATCATAGTGGACAGTAGAAATTCATGGCAAGGAAAGGCTTCTTCCTTATGAGGTGAATGAGAGGTTCCCTCTGTGTCTAGCCCTGCTTTCCCCCCCTTTTTTAGCCCTGAGTTAGCTGTCAGTAAGCACAAGAATTCACCTTCTCCTGTTGGCATTCAGCTCAGATCTCATGCTGACAAAATCAATGGGATTCATTTCATCTGACTTCAGCTAGAAATTGCCTTGGTAGTGGTGCAGCTCCTGAGGAACAGGGAGAAAGTGTCTTCAGAGGCCAATTCATCCCATTCACAAGAGGTGTCTTAAGACAGGTGGAAGATCTGCTTGGCAGCACTTACCTGTGTGCATTGGCCCTAGAAGAAGTGCTCTTAAATCATTTTAGAAAGCAAACACCACTGGTAAAGCATCTTCAGGGCATTTTTGATGGATTTTTGTTACACCTGAGCTGGTAGAGAAGTGTGTGCTACAACATCAAGTTCTTTGTTGCAAACTGAGTTAAGTAAATGTATTGGTGATGTTCATTTTCACTGTGGTGTTTCTCATCCCTAACCCCCTGTGCAGGATCCTCGGGGCTCTCGTATGATAGAGTGGAGCAATCTGAAGCCATTCTGCTGTGGTAAGTTTCAGATGATTTTTTTTCTCCATGTGTTGTCATTTTCCTTTGCTCCTGCTCACACTGAGTTGTGTTGGATAAGCCTTGGCAAGGGCTGAGGAGTGGCACAGAGCTCACACCCTGTTGTTTGCTTTTTCAGGGATTGTCAACATGACTTTTCCTTTGTCTGATCAGCCAGTGTTTGGGGAATGGCTCATCTTTGCAGAGATGCAGGGGCACACATACAACAAGTCTTTTGAAGTTCAGAAATATGGTGAGTTGACCTTAACCCAAGTGCCTTTGGAAGAACGGAACGGTATGGAATGTTTTCCCTTGAGATGAAACACCTGAGAAATAATGCATTTAAAATGTAGCATGGAAAGATCTTTAGAGCTGTGTACTTCAGGGATGTGGACACTGCCAGCTGGGAGTTTGGCCAAGGTCAGCTTGCCAAGGTGGTCTTGGTTTGCTGCTGGTGTTGACTGATCCTCTGCTGAGTGCTATCCTGTTCTGTTCCCCACACTGCCCTCCTGGGCCACCAGCAGGGATCTGGTCAGAGCTGTCTGGACTTTTGCTATAATCTGGTCAAGAAATCCCCTTGAAAATGTTCTGTTCTATTTCTTTTCCTTGTAGTATTACCCAAGTTTGAGCTGCTGATTGATCCCCCTCGCTACATTCGTGACCTTTCACTGTGTGAAAAAGGAACTGTCCATGCCAGGTAGGAACATGTCCCACATCAAGTCTCATTGCTATGGATTATAGTGCAGTCACTGGAGCTGGAATTCAATCTCCTGCAGGCTTTTTGGGTGATTTCTGGTCAGCATCATCAGCTTTATGTAAGATCCTTCATAAAACATTAAAAATAAGCTGGAAAACCTGTGATATTTTATTCTGTTTTCTAGATGAGCAGGTCACCTTGCCTTGATAGAACCAGGAAAGCAGAAAGCAGCTGGAAGTTATTCATTATCCCCTTTCCATTTCAGATACACATTTGGAAAACCAGTGACAGGGAAGTTAATTGTCAACATGACTATAAATGGTGTCGGGTACTACAGGCATGAAGTGGGACATCCTGTCCTCAAAACTACCCAGGTGAGGGAGAACATTGACTCACTAGTGAAAAATACCTGCTCTGTGCTCTTTGATGTTCATACCACAGCTCTGTGTTGTTACCGATGGGAGATCAGAAAATAAATGAGTAAATGTGATAATTGGGCCCAGCATAATAAAAATATGACACTTTTGTGTGATATGGTTTGGGCGGATGAGAATTTGTTGGCATAGTATTAATCTGGTTTCAGAGAATATATGGCTGAGGGGAACAGGGTGCTCGGTGCTGGTGAGGCCACACCTTGAATCCTGTGCTCAGCTCTGGGCTCCTCAGCTCAGGAGAGACATTGAGGGGCTGGAGCAGGTCCAGAGAAGAGCAACGAGGCTGGGGAAGGGACTGGAGCACAAGTGCCATGAGGAGAGGCTGAGGGAGCTGGGGGTGTTCAGCCTGGAGAAGAGGAGGCTCAGGGGAGACCTTCTCACCCTCTGCAACTCCCTGACAGGAGGTTCAGTCAGGTGGGGGTTGGTCTCTTCTCCCAGGCAACAGCAGCAGGACAAGAGGGCACAGACTCAAGCTCTGCCAGGGGAGGGTTAGGTTGGATCTTAGGAAGAGATTTTTTACAGGGAGAGTGCTCAGGCATTGGAATGTGCTGCCCAGGGAGGTGGTGGATTCACCATCCCTGGAGGTTTTCCCTGGATGTGGCACTTAGTGCCATGGTCTAGTAACCATGGTAGGGTTGGACTCGATGATCTTGGAGGTCTCCTCCAACCTGGTTGATTCTATGATCCTGAGAGATTGTGACAGAGCTAGTCCAGGCTATGGATAAGAGAGGAAAATGAAACTTGCTTTCTTTCCTCCTTCCTTCACCCACTCCCCAATGAATTCACTCCTAATCCTTTAAAAACACTGCTGCAAACTCCTAACAAGTGCCTAAGCTTTAGATTTGGCTCCTAGACCCTGTCTGAAGGTAGAATGCAACCTTACCTTTCCATTCCCCACCACACTTGCTAGATTGATGGCTCTGCTGCCTTCGAGGTGTGTGTGAAGGACATGATGCCAGCTGATGTCCCTGAGCACTTCCGAGGCACGGTCAACATCTGGGCCACGGTGATCAGCTCTGATGGGAGCAAGCAAGTCACATTTGATGACTCAACCCCTGTTCAGAAACAGCTCATCGATATCAAGTACTCCAAGGACACCAGGAAACAGTTCAAACCTGGGCTGCCCTACAAGGGGAAGGTAAAATAGAGACACTGACCTGATACTGACCTGATCTCAGGCTGTCACACCATGTTCTGGTGTGTTTTTTCCCACATTGACTGGTATTGGTGATAATGTAAACCCTGTTGCTCTCTAAATGTGTAGGTAGAAGTGACTTACCCTGATGGAAGTCCAGCAGACAGAGTCACTATCCGAATCAAAGCTGAGCTCACACCCAAGGACAATGTTTATACAAGTGAACTGGTATCAAGGAATGGCCTGGTGGAGTTTGAAATCCCCTCCATCCCCACAGCTGCCCAATATGTCTGGCTGGAGGTGGGTAAAAGCTCTTTATAGGATTAGTAGGCTTTAATGTAACTAATCTTGTCAAACCTGCACTTTATAAATCATTGCCACAAACAGGAAATCGGTGCCTTTTAGCTTCAGCTTCTGGATTTCAGCACTGCAAACACTTGCTTTGGTTCTTGCTGCCAGCAGAGCTGGTGTTGATAACCATCATGAAAAGATGCTTCTCCAAATACAGCTTAGCATGGTAGTAAAGGTCCAATATTTGAGCAGTGCTGTTGCTGTGTGAAGATGACACGAGACAAACAGCTGGAAAGCATAAAATGGGAGAAGGGGATAGCACAAATTGGGATTTCGGTGTATAACATTTAGATGTAACTTCTTTTTTTTTAAGACCAAAGTGACAGCAATTGATGGGAAACCCTCTGGGGATCAATATCTGCCCAACTACTTGTCCATCAGCAGCTGGTACTCACCCAGCAAGTGTCACATTCAGCTCCAGGCACCAGATAAACCTTTCCAGGTATGTTGGCTTCATATTCCATCATGGCAACAACTGCATTTCTTGGCTTGTAGTACATTGTCCTAATCAAATACCTCTAGTCACTTCAGTTCTTGGGATCCTGACTGATTATTTCCAGTTCAAAGGGGAAAGGAGCTGCACTTGAGCCACCAAATAACTGTGCAGTGTGGACTGCACATGGTGCCAAGCAAAGCACTTTTGATGCTCTGTGCAGCTCCTCATTCCCTTTTGTCTGGGGACAGGGAGAGAGAGTGGATGTAGGCACTGACAGCATTTCAGCTTTCCACATTGGAATGTGTGTTCTGTGCACCTCCAGCACAGTCAGACATGGATTGTTAGCTGAAAATGATTGACAGTAATGTTAGTGGCAGGAACTTAATTGCTAAGGATCAAAATTAAGGCTGTGTAGTCTCACTAGAACTTGCAGTTTAAATCTCGACTGGATCTGTTTAGTCTTCCAGTTATTGAACTGTGAACATTGTTGTCTTCTTGTGTGGTTTTTGTAGGAGCCTCTCTAAAAATCTAATCCTATAAAAGTTGTGATTTCTCTCCTAAAGGAAAGGTCAGGTTTAACCATGAGTGTTCTGAGAATTCTTTAGAGTTTGTTCTTACCCCAGAAGATGCTCTGAGGGTCTGCATATTGCTTTGTGGGGAGGGGAGAAAATTGAGTTTTGGCAATAAACACATTTAGATTTCTGTTATCAGCAGATCTGTCAGGTTGGTTTCAGACTCTTTGTATCCAAATAAGAGCTTTTTATTTTATCATTGCATTTCATGGAAGTTTAATGGCTAATTAATCTTTTACAAGTTTCCTGAGGTATGGAAAGGGGATTATACACTGCTAATCTGAACACATTGTTCTTATTATAACCTGATTAGAACTAATTCTTCTGTGGGAAAACTAGGAGTTGGATGAGCAGCTGATGTGGGAACTGTTTCCCTGCACTGCCAGCTCTTACTGGGTGTTCCAATTAGCTACATTCATTTTCTAATGAATTGTTTCATCATTTGCACTGGGGAATTCTTAATACTTCAAATATTTAATGTCACGAGGCATTTCCTGGACTCTGTGGCATTCTCACTGCATTTAGCCATTAGCAACTCCTTGTCTCCAAGTTCTGCCCTTTTGGTTTGTGCCGTGTGGACATTCTGGCTGGAGAGCACCAGGCAGGAAGGG